AGATGCAGATAAAAACCACAATGAGATATCACCTAACCCCTGTCAGAATGGCAAAGATTAAGAATATAAAAGTGATAAGTGTTGGCGGGGATGTGGTGAAAAGGGAACCATCAGACACTGTTGGTGGGAATGTAAACTGATTCAACCACTATGGAGAATATGGAGGTTCCTCAAAAATAGAACTACCATTTGATCCAGCAATCCCACTTCTGGGTATTTACCCAAAGGATAGGAGAACACTCAATCGGAAAAGTGCTTACACATCAATGTTTATTGCAGCATTATTCACAATTGCAAAGACATGGAACCAACCTAAATGTCCACAAACTGATGAAGGGATTGGAAAAGTGTGGCATATATACTCTATGGAATACTACTCAGCCATAAAAAATAACAAGACCCTGGCATTTGATAGAAAGTGGTCAGATATGGAGGATCTATTGCTGAGTGAAGTAAGCCAGGCTATGAAAGATATTGTATGTATCCACTTAATATATATCGACTATCAGTACTCCATGGTAGAGAGCGAAATATTGGAGGACATAAAAGCAGTGAAAGTACTTAACGAGAATAAGACAGTGTGGAATGAGGGGGGGTGAAGAGAAGAGGATAGAGAAAGATGGCAAGAGAACGAATAGAGAGGCAGGACAGGACGTTAGTGGGACACAGATATGGCTTATTACCTGTTGATGATGACATGTATAGTATTCTCAACTGGACTGGTCTGAGAAGTATTTCATGATGGATAAAGTCTTTTTACAAGCAAAATGAGAAATAGTGATTGAGTGTTTTAAAAAAAAAATTGGAATAATAATAATAATGATTGGGAAAAATAATGAAAAGATATTGAATGATGAAGTGGAGAGATTAATGTCTCTATTGACTGACATGCATGGCATTCCCTTTTGAAAAAGCAATGTAATACACTGTAAAGTTATATGTAATCCAATGTAATACAAACAAGATTATGATGATAATAAAAAATAAATTAAAAAAAAGTCAAAAACAAAAAGTCTACTTGGATGAATGAATGAGCTTAATTAGGTAAAATTCTGATTGGACAGGCTTTATGATGACTAAGAGCCTGCTGTTATAGTCCTGCCTTTATCAAACTTTTCCATGTTCTCACTATAGCTAAAAATATCTTCAAACTTAATGGAACAGAATTTCCATAAATAATAATTATTACTAATATTAAGGTAAAAAGAAAATGATTAAGAAGAGATAAAGAAGCCCCAAATAAGAGAAAAGTCTTTATTTGACTATATTATTGCTGTATCAGAGGCTTTAGATTCTACCAGTGCCATTTTGTGAATCTGTTTTATTGTCCCTCAAACTTAGAAAGGTCACCATCTCCCAAAGTAGACAAAAGGGAAAAAACTTCCCTCCACAAGACTGTGGTTTGCTAAAGGGCAAGCAGGTACGCCTGGAGCATAGGTGTTATTTAGCATCTGTCACATAAATGTGCTCATGGTGACCAGGCCAGTCTGTCCAGGTTTGCTGTACCTTGCCATGGAGCACACATGGCAAAGCCATAAAGCAGTTGTTGTCCCTAAAAAATCTCTCCTTTTCTGAAGCTACAGTCAACTTAGTAAAAGAATGGAGATAATACGACCTGACAAACATTTCACTTAAGAAAACAAAAACACACAGTGACAATACCTGCCACATGAGCTCTGTGGCGGCATCCCTTACCTGAAACAATTGTTACAGGGCCTCTGATCTCTGTCAGCTTCTGTCTGGTGAAGTTCCGAATGAGACACTGTATCAAGGTGCTCTTTCCAACTTTTGGGGGTCCCATAACCACTACCACTATTGGTGGGGGTTCTAGTGGAGTTCGATCAACAACTGGAATGTGATGCTTTTTTGTCTTCAAATCCTGAGTCCTATTTGTATTTTTTTAAAAAGTAAATTCACTTTTAAAATATTTTCAAAACATAAAAAAAGATATTACTCTTACAAACACAGATTTTATAAAGAAGATATTTATATAATTAACTAGGTAACTCTTTTTTTTTTTGAGAGGTTTTTGCTATAGGGCATGTGTGCTCGCCAGACAGACAGACAGACAGAAAGCGAGAAGTCACACCCACTGGGGAAATGGCCACACTGTGATCCTTTCTCCTCCATTCTCCTCTAGGGATCTTGGGCACGCATGAACATGTGCCAGGCGTGAGTTTAAGCCACTGGGCCCAGAACTCAAACTGCATTTGACTACATGGGAGTTCAATGACATAGCCATTACGCTAACTGCTGGTCCCAACTTATTAACTCCCTTTTTTGGAGAGGTTTTCGCTATAGGGTATGTGCGCTCGCCAAACAGACAGACAGAGACAGAGAGACAGAAAGTGAGAAATCACCCCCCCGGGGGGGATGGCCACGCCACAGTCTCTTCTCTTTCATCCTCCTCTTGGGCACGCACACACAAGTGCCCGGCGTGAGTTTTAAGCCACCGGGTCCGGGATGTGAACCGCGGTTGACTACGTGGGAGTCCAGCAACATAGCCATTACACTAACTTATTAACTCTTAACTTTTAGTTCCGATCTAAATAACTGCTCCTCAGTAAAGATACAACATCATGACATAAAAAAATATAGTTGAAAATTATACACACTTTAAATCTGAGGGAATGTACTGTAATTTAAAAGAACAGAATCTCTGATTTAAATTTGGCTCTCCTGCTTACTGGTTATATAACAGATAACGTGTTCTCTGAGCCTCAGTTTTCTTATTCATAAAATGAGAACAAGGATAATTCCTACCCTTGTGAGGCACTGGGGATAATTTAATTCAATTATGTTTAAAGTGTACTGCTAGGCAATATAGCAAGGACTCACTATAAACAACTATTTTAATACAGACTTGCAAATTAGTATTTATTACAAATATATGAAAAATATCTAGGAAAAAGCATACTTAAGAACTGCTTAAAGTTTAATAACAAACATTCTATAAAATAAATTTATAAATTCTTTTTTCTGGGTCTCCTGGGCATGACTGGTGTGCAGATGTTAGAAGCAAGGCAGCTTTGATGGAAAAGGCTTTTCATATCTTAATAAAAACCATATGGCATGCATCTCCATGCCGCTTAGAGCCAGACTAGCCTAGTGAATCCAAATAACATCCATGAGAGGGTCCCACCATTAAAAAAAATAAATGGAAAAACCACCAGAATGTGGTTAAACATACCTGTGAAAGGATCGAGCCATTCGGACAGCAGACTGAACTGCAAAAGCTTTGGGGTTTCTTTTCCGGGCATCTTCTTCATCTCCGAGTTGGAGGTCCTGCAGATGCCGTTTCTTTTTCTTCTCAGCTTTGGGCCCACTATTTTTCTTTCTGTGCTTCTTCTGGTCCTTAGTCTCCATAGTGACTATTTACCAACTCACAAAATTTCTAACCTACATGGAATAGGGTAAGGGTGGGAATGTAGATGAAGCATTTTATAATCTAGGCAACAACCAGGGAAAAACAGTAAATGTCATTTATTTTTTTATGAAGAGATGATGTACTTGTTCATCCAACAGAGTTAAAAACTGCTTAATATCCCCAATTTCTCTCTGTCATTAGATAAGTTTATTATGCCACAGTAACAAACTTTTTATGCTTTGGCTACTTTTCATTCTTCTTTAAGAGTTGACGTCTGTACCATCCACTTCTGCCATGATGCAAATATAGTCACCAGCCACATGTGAGTGCTGAGAACTTAAAATGTATCTATGGACACTGAAAAAAATAAAATTTTAATTTTATTTCATTTTTTCCTAAATAAGAGATTTTTGCTATAGGGCATGTGTGCTCACTGGAGACACAGAAAGTCATTTCCTGGGGGGATGGCCAGGCCATAACCACTTATCCTTCATTCTCTTCTTGGGTGCACACACACTTGTGCCCAGCAGGAGTTTTTAATCCACCAGTTCTGGGGCTTGAACACATAGTCAACTACATGGGAGTCCAGTGACATAACTATTACCCTATCTGCTGGTCCCCAATTTTATTTAATTTTAATTAATTTAAATTTAAATAGCTACTTGTGACTAATGGTCGCCACACTGGACAGCTAAGGCCTAGATACCAATTGGGTTAATGAGCAGTGTCTAACTTAAACTAAAACTTTAATTTTAATAAAAAGTTCACAGTATTTTAATGACTCTCCAACACAACAGCAGTACTACTTTTAGTACCTGTTGATTTCATACAACTTCTAAGTTACAATGATCTACCACATACATTAAAAAATTGTAGTATCTATGTGTGTAAAATATGGTTTGTTCTGGATGATACCTGGGGGACACATGACTTTACAGAAACTTTTTACAGTGACTTCTAGGAATCCATGGCTCATCAACTGAGAACTACTGGATTAGTGAGTTGTGTTGTTTGTTTTCTTTTTAAAATAAACTGCATACAATCCAATGGCTCAATCAAGATACTCAATTTCACTTCACTAAATATTTGTTTCTGCCTACAATGTGCTGAACACTGCCAGGACATAGCTACAGCTATGACCTGACTAGCGGAGGCCATTCAAACAAGTATTTCCCTTGCCTTGCAAGAAGGCCACATCAGCGGGCTGAAAAGGGTACTACCGAGGACAGAGGTCAATCAGTTTTCCCAGATACACACACCAGTGGCAAGTTCTCGTATTTCCACATAACGCTGAGGAACACTGGCCCAGAGTTAGCAGAGCTGGGCTCTACGGAAACTTGCTATGATTTAACAGAATATTTATCTTTCCTATTATATTTTAGTAGCTAATTTACACTGTGCCTTCCTCTCTCTCGCCCCCTTCTTTCCCCATCCCCTTTCTCCTCTTTTTGTGGGAAAAGCAGATTTTGAAGTAAGTCAGGTACAGGTGTATCACTTGCTGGGATCACCCCGTCGGGAAGCACCCTCTCCGCCTTACCCTCCCCGTCCGGGCTCTGCAACTCCCCCTGACGTCAGGGCACCTCTCCGGCAGGTACGAAATAAGTCTGCCTAAGGCTTCAGGCGCTCCCGGGGCAAAGGCTACCCAGGAGCTCCTCGAGACCCTCCCAGAGGCTCAGCCCCACAGATCCCAGAGACCCCGCCGCCGCCACCTTCGCCAGCCCGCAGCACTCACCACGTTCACAACTGCTGCGACTCCTCAGGCCCGCATGGACACCGCCGGAAACGGAAGCTTGCCACGAGCAAAGCTGGCCACCAGCCGTAGGGA